AATTTTGGACTTCAGGGGTGGAGTGAGTTAATCATCCTCAGGCCCTGGCACATTGTCATCCACACAAAGTGTACATGATAAACTGTGCCCTGAGGACTCTTCTGTGCTCTACAGTTTGTACTCTCTATAACTACCTCCCCCATTACCTTGTTTTTCTTCCTAGTGAACAACTTTAATCCATGCATCTTTGTTTTCCAATCATAAGAGGAAAATATTTGTCATTTTTTGGTAGAATGAGTTTTACCTTTATATATCTGCTTTTTCAGGCCTTCCTAGTGTTTTATTTAATGCCCCAGTTTCAAATAGGGGTACACTCTTAGGGTGTGATTCAATCCAAAGAACATGGCCGTGTATTAACTGTTCTGTGCCTAAATTAACATTTCTTACAGGTATGGCCTGTTGACTGACTATAATACTACTTCCACTTTAATGATTGCTTCATTGTGCATATTCTCTTTTTCCACATTCATAGTTAGGTTTTTGGCACAGGGAGAAACATCGCTGACACCTCAAGTGGGCACCCAGTGGCCAACATTTGTTACTTAAATTCCAAATACATTTGTAAACACCATCCATCCTACCATCATGGGCTAAGAGGGGAAAGATGAAACACCAGTAGTTTTCATTAGAAGAAAACAATAACAGTAGTGGAAGCAGTAGATTCCTTTGCCACAAGCAAAGGAATCTAATGTCACTCCCTTTACGTTGTCCACATTTTTAAAAGATTGAGCCAAGATAGAAGAGAAAGTTGAAGGGATTCTGGGACTAAAGCAGAAGTGAATGTGAAGTCCCTTTTGTAGCAGGTTTTTGCATGGTATGAAATTTGTGCAAGAAATGGGCATGGTAAATGTATCACTTATACAGCAGAAAGTATCAGATTTTTGCCAACCTTGGGCATGGTGAGTTTCAAGCAAGTGTGGGATGCCTAAACAGATTTCAGTCATGTTATCTAATTGTTTCAGAAGTTGCCTGTAATGATGAAAACACTGTTCCAGTAGAGAAAATTATTCACTCTTAATTAGGTGCAGGAGAAAATTTAAAAAAATAAAAGTTGCTGATTATAGCTTGAATGATGTTATAGATGCTAATGAAAGAGATATGCTTTACCAGTTGTTACCTTATCTTATGCTTCATGCCAAAGGTAGACTTTGCAAAGGAATAAAACAGAACGATGATTGCTGTTATGCTATAATGCGTTCTGGATCAAGTCAGCTAATCCCCAGTACTTCAAAAATGTTTGTTGTTGTTCCCCTGTGATTACCAAGCCAATACACGTGCCCGAATGATGAGAATTATATTAATGAATAACTGAAAAAGATTGACAAGAGAATCCAAGGAGCAAAATGCAGTGTTCTCTTGCTGGCAGACAGTTACTCTGTGTATAACATACTCCCATGATCATGTATGTATGGAATTTTTCCCACTGAACTGCACAGCCATTCTGCAGCCTTTGGATCAGGGTATAATTCACACAGTGAAAGCTCAAAGCAGTTGCTGAAACAACTCTTTCCAAATTTACGTGATGAGGACAAAACTGAGAAAATAAACATGAAGTAAGCCATTGACATGGTTGTGGAGACCTGGTCGTCTATAAGGGCATCTGCAAAAGTGAAATGTTGGCAGAAAACAGGTTTGATTCCTGTGAATCCCATGAGGGCCACCTGGAATAAGACTCCACCAAATGTGGTGTGGGCACCATCTAGCACTCAATTGCTACTGTTACTGTTAACTATTTCCCAAGAGTTATCAAATCTTGAAATGCTACTGGAGTGCTGAGGTTGTAAAAATGTAGCCAGAAAGCCATGGTGGTAGGGTGATGGTGATGATCATGATGAATACGACAATGATAACTATGACATGCATGGGAAACAAATGATGGAACAGCCAACAGTGAAGATTTCTGAAGACTTTGCCACCATAGAAAGTGTCTGAGAACTCCTTTCCCTTCAAGCAGATGTCCCTGAAGGGGTGTGTACCCAATTAAGTGCTATAGATGAATATTTAGTGACTACTACAACACACATTGTTTTGAAAAGCTGAGTTCCTAGGTTTCTCCATAACTACTAAGTTGCAAAATATTGCTTTTATAAAGTCTATAAAATAGAAGACTTAATGAATAAAGAATATTATACAAATAAAGCCCCAGTGAGTGTTTAAATGTGTTTCACTCTTATTTCATAAGGTTTACTACAAGTGGGTTCCCAGTATTTCCTCCAATAATTTTATTGTCATTAATTTCAGTCTTTAGAAGGTTTCTTTCTCTACATCCTCCCTTCCTACCCCCACTCCCTCCCCAGCATTAGGTGGCAGGAATGATAAGAAAGCTTTTGCCTAATAATACCTAGAAGAGAAAATATTCCCCAAATGTTGATGCTACAGCTAGGAGAACCAGAAGGCAAAAGACATGCTTGGGTTTAATAGGATGGATTTAAAGTAGCCAAGAGGAAAAAAGATACTCAGATTAGGGAGCTAGCAGAGCTTGTTCTGCACAGAAAGTAGCTGATAGGCAAAAAAAGGAGAGTGAGTGCAAATAGCTACTTATGGTACTGCATGATGCAATGAGTGCTTGGGTGGGCCAGTGGAGGGAAGCAGAGCAGCATCAGGGGAAAGGAGCCACTGGAGAAGAAGGAGCTCAGGAGAAGATATTGAGCAAAGGAGTGCTAGTACTTCCTCAGGTTGCTATCCCTGGAAGGGCTGTTGGGGTGAGGAAGGAGTGGATAACCCACTAGCCTCTCCTACCCCTAGTCCTGTCTTCCTTATAACTACAAGATGTGACTTAGACCAAGCAACAATTCTCCGATTTCCATAAAGTAGGAAAACAACCCCTTGCCTACCACACTGGTTTGTTTAAGAGATGAGAAATAAAATAATTAATGATTTACCAAAATAAAGTGCCATTTATAAAGTATGTATTAGGCAAAGTAGTAAGACAGTGGGCATTTTTGGTACACATATCTGGGCTGGACTTCAAAAAAAGAGTCAGGAATAATCTTTTTTAAAGTAATTTATCAACACCAATTATGAAGGGAAAAATGTGTTATTTTTTTTTAGGTAAATAGTCAGCATTGTCAAGAATGTCTTCAGCACTGAGCCTCCACATTTAAAAGGAACCACCCAAAAGAAAGACTTTCAAAACCCAGGGCTCAGAGGAGTACGCACACGACCTTATTTCGAGCTGTGAATCCAGAGCTCTTCATTAAACCTGTAAAGATATGTGTCCAGGAAAATACTTATGTTTAATCTAACCCCAGTCTGTCAGAAAAAGAAAGTTTCTATTTTTCTGTAACATTTGATTTTATCGTGAACATTTGTGTGTTGACTAATAAGACCTCTGGAATAAAAGCAGGTGGAAGACAAATTTTATATACTGTTTCACATATAAAACTAAATATTCTTGAGGCCCATTTGAGAGTAATAATGGAAAATGGGTGCACTTTCATGGATCAACTTCTTCCAAAATATTTACATTATTTGAAGGCAGTTTTTCTTGTTTGATTGGTACTATTAGGTAAATAAGACCTTCCGTTTAAACAAAGAACCAAAAATAAAAATCCATTATTCTTACAGACTGCAGTTTGCAGCCTTTTATTAGTAATATTTTATCTAAATGATATTGCAACCCATTTTACTAAAAATCAAAAAACATAACATTGTACACCTGTTACAGAGGTAGGCTCCATCATATTTGCGTGTTGCAAATTATTGAATATATTTGATTTGGCGAATTATATTTGTAAATAAATGTAAATGGAATCAAATTATAAATATGGAGTATTTATATTGAATTCTGATTAGAATTTTAATAATGTATCTGCCACTGTAGACTGTTTGGAAGTTAAATAGGTCCAGCTTAACCATCAATCATTAAATCAAGGTAGAATGTTTTAAAAACTGTTAATGTGTTCTTTTAATTGCTAAAGCATTTCAAGAACTACAAATTTAAACTGCTCTGAGTTTTGGCCTTTTCTTAGATATTTCATCTAAGTGAAAAAGTTTACCCTATTCTTTTGTGATTGAGATTTGAAATAGTAGTAATACAGCAGGTATGGGAACAGAATCAGAAAAAACTGTCTGTATCCTGCCGTGCATTTTACACTGACCTACAGAGAAGGCCAATTTGTTGAGTGTAAATGTGTACTAAGAGGGCATCTTAGTTATAGTTCTAGGAATCACAAAGTATTAGACAAAACACTTCTCTGGAGTTGTGAACATCTTTCATATATATATATATTATAGATAAATATAATGTATATATTATAAATATATATTATATATAAAATACTTTAAATATATATACTATATTTATATTTAAATTCAAGCTATATCACTTTGCTTCTTAGGGTCTTGGTTTTCCAGCAGTAAATCAAGGAGATTATAATAGCATAAAATCTGTTGCAGTCACTCAGTTTCTTGAGGTAATTGAAAGGAGTGCTTTCCACCCTCACAGTAATAGAGTAGGTTCCCAGAGAAGAGTGTATACGTTGTCATTATTGCTGGGTCTAATATTTAATATATAAAGACTTTTTGCCAGTTATTTATGACTTTGGTAAGAAGAATAGCATCTGTACTTCATTCCTTGATTCTCATTATTATATAATAAAGTGAACTAATTTGAGGTTTGCAAATTCTCTCCATTTGCAAACGGGCTCAGACAAGTCACACAGTTAACACTGAAAACTGACCAGTGAACCAGAACCAGACCAATTTCTATGTCTCATGCCTCTCCCAAGTATCACCTTCCTGAGGATGGAGGTCTCAGATATCCAGGCTTTAGATAGGATAAAGACTAGAGAGGAGAAGCAAGAGTCTTCTATAATCGCTAATCAGGAGTTGAGTTAATTGAATAAAGAACTGAGTAAATAATTATAATAGAAATATTGCCATAGGAATGCTAGTGTGGTAACAAAGACTTGCCATGTCAGAAGGAAAGTACAACACATATTTGGGTCTCTTTAAATTATAGTCTTAATGAGACTTTATACTTTTTTTTTCTTTGACAGAACAAACCTGTAATGGCTTTCGGATTGGTAACCCTTTCACTTTGCGTGGCATATATTGGTTATCTACATGCAACACAAGAGAATAAAAAGGACCTCTATGAAGCTATTGACAGTGAGGGACACAGTTATATGAGGAGGAAAACATCTAAATGGGATTAATAGTGCTGGTTACTGCAAATGGAGCTTTATTCAGGACTCTGAAATCTTCAGATGAAAGACTTTATGAGCACACAGTATCATGTTTCTTGTTCTAGAATATGTTAATGAGGAGAGAAGACAGCAGTTGCACCCAGACAATTGTAGTAAATTTTTTCCTTTCGTAGCTGCAGCCATCATCTCATTCCTTTTCCACAGAAAATGTCACAATATTTTTCTTTTATTCAATCCTTTTATTAATATGCCATGAGAATAGAAGTTATTTTTGTTAATTATTAAGTTCTGTGTAATAAAAATACCCAGTGCTATTAAATTCGCATGGTGTTTTTAATATTTTAAGGTGAATTGTGCCTTTGTAGCTATTATGAGTTTAGTTATGTTTTGTTATTTGCATAGGAGATGTTCATTGTCTACCTGGTATAGAACCTATATTTGAAAAGAAAGAGAAATAGTCATTTTAAATCCTGAAGTCAACATTAAGGGGTGAGAAATGAAAACCAAGTTAGCTCTGACAAATAGTTTTTACAGAACCACAAATGGTTCATACATTTTGGTTTCCATTTCAGCTGTTTTGGGTCCAGAATTTTATTTTAATTGAAAAGATATCCCCACTCAGCTACTAAAATGAAGATTAAATGAGAGGATATCCCAAAGTAACTGGAGTTTTTCTTCTATTAAAAAAGGTATTATTCTGAGGTATGGTGTTTTTATTTGACTATAACTAAATGTTACCTATTTTTGTTTATAAATTAATGTTACAGTGATGTTTTAAAACCAAGTGTTCTTAATAGTTATTTAAAAACTAGAACTACTGGCCGGGCACGGTGGCTCACGCCTGTAATCCTAGCACTCTGGAAGGCTGAGGCGGGCAGATTGCTCGAGGTCAGGAGTTTGAAACCAGCCTGAGCAAGAGCGAGACCCCGTCTCTACTATAAATAGAAAGAAATTAATTGGCCAACTAATATATAGAGAAAAAAAAATTAGCCGGGCATGGTGGTGCATGCCTGTAGTCCCAGCTACTCGGGAGGCTGAGGCAGTAGGATCACTTGAGCCCAGGAGTTTGAGGTTGCTGTGAGCTAGGCTGACGCCACGGCACTCACTCTAGCCTGGGCAACAAAGCGAGACTCTGTCTCAAAAAAAAAAAAAAAAAAGAAAAAAACTAGAACTACTCAATAGATAAAAAATAAGGTCTCCTTATTTTACTGGGTTTACCTTAAGTAATTTAAATCTCTCTGACAAGGGTTCTGGACCTGTTTCATTTCTAGATATTTACCCTCTTCTCTAAATCATTATAATTAGGGCTCAGTAGTAAATCTCATCTCTGAAGTTTTGTTTCATTTATTACCAGGTAGTAACAGCACAGGCAGAGTTTGTCATCATAATGTTATTTTTTAATTTCTAGTACTTTATTGTGGTTTTGCAAGGTACATGAAATGCAATTATATCTCATTTGTAGATACAACAGAGCTTAGCTAATTGAATTTATCTACATAGAAATAGATTAAATCTTTACTACTGAGACTTAAGTATTTCTTTGCTATGCCTCCCCATATACTGTACTTCAAATAGTTTAAATGCAATTAGGTAGTACAAAATGCCTTTTAATGTAAATATTATCTTTTGCTTTTGGTTTCCCCATGTATTTTGGTTGTCTTAAAACTACGGTTCTTCTGTTTACACCTTATTTGTTTAATGTCACATTGCTGTCTTTTAGAATTTTTTACTATTCAGCAAAATAAATTGATATTCAGTGTCAGGGGAAATATTAGTTGGGTAAACTACCAAGAAACTATTGAAGTGCAGAAGGGCAGCAGACACTGTACAGCATGCAGTCCTAAGCCATGTGTTATCTATGGGAATGGACCAAGGCAGCAGTGGATTCAGTCAAGCACAGCACTATGAAAAGTGGTGTGAGGGAAGAATCACATTGAATTTTAGGAACAAGTTTATATTATTGCACAGTCTTTGTGAGTGCAGAGTGTCAAAGGCTGTCTAGTTATGTGTTGATGTTTTCATCCATTCTCTATTGAATGAGGGCATAACCATCAAAAATAAAATACCTTTTGAAATAGAGGATTTTGAATATTAGACTTCACCTGGTCCAATCATGTCAGCTTATGGTTAAGACAACAGACTAAGAATGGTTAAGAAATTTATCCAACAACACAGTGATTCTCAGAGTCAAATCTGGAACCTGGATCTCCTTGTTCCAAAGTCTAAGGATCTTTTTACCATTATATATTAAATACCACCTGTTAGGAGTTGTCATGAGTGGTGCAAGGTCAGACATAACAGGTCCACGCATATTCGTGTCTTTCCACAAGGTCAGACTTTTATTAATGTTGTTTTAATCATAAAAGCCACGAGCTACATGGAGTTCCCAAGGAGGCAGTTCTCCTTAGTATTACCCATTTACTTGGTAGCCAGAGCCACAGACACACAAGCTCAAGCCAATCTACAAGTCAGTCAATATTGCAAACATACCTACTATGTTGCTACCTATTACATATACTACACAGTAGTATACATAATCAGTATATAAATGTTAAGATTTAAATTTCCACATTAAACATGGTCACTTTCAACATGAAGAGAAAAGGGGATTTAAAAAAGGGGTTAATGAACCTGTCCAAGGAAAGTGACATGGACAAGAAGAGTGCTCTGGGCTGATTCAGATGATCAGTGTCTTGCAAGGCAAAGTCCTTGATTTGTGCAGAGGCTTCAGTGGCAGATGATGGGTACTGATCACAAGTGACAGCAGGACAGTGTCTATAGAGATGGCCACATCTAGCTGGCGGAAGTCCTGATCTTTTTATGGCCTTTGAGTTCGCTGGTGAGGACTGAGAGTCCGCAGGGTTAGGCCCTTGTCTGGTTATGGTTAAGACATATCAATAAGACAACCGGTCTTTATTGATTAGGTGAACATCTGGTCTCTGCTGGCATGATGCCTTTTGAAATATAAGATGGAATCTTTTTCTAATACAGGGTCACTTAGTCAAGGATGCTCGACACAGGTGTAAATGTCCACATGATAATTAAGCAGCCACATTAGCCCTTAAAAATAAAATGTTTAGGTCTTAAGTACAGAAACACTCCTGTATTTTGAAACACAATTATGTAAAGGATTGTTAACTGCCATCTTTCCCAAAAGACCATCAGAACAACCTGTTGCTGAAACAAAATTAAATTTATTAAACCTACTACACTAAGGGAAAAATGCCATTTTTACAAAGCTAGTTGTATTTAAGAAGGGGATGATCAGGGAAGATATTTACAGTGTTTTGGAGTCCAAGTTCAGGTGGTTAAAGAATATCTTTCAATGTAGAAATTTGGTGGAGATTGAGCAAAGTTCCCGACATAATAGATTAGGTCTTGAAGAACATCTTGATAACTAAACTATTGCTTGATAAACAGTAAGTGACCTTTATCCCCATGGGAGTAATCTAATGTTCTGTTAGAAAAGCTACTTGCCTTATCAGTTGAGGGCTGTTGAATTGGCAAATTGGTTTTCAAGAATTTCCTAAAATAGTGAAGTTATTGTTTGTTTTTACAGCCTTATCTTACATGGGGGGACAAACCCCTCTTTGCCAGGCACTGCAGAAGGTTAGGACTTTAGTTTTAAAACAGGGACAGTCCTAGGCAAATCAAGACCAGTTGGTTACTCTCCCTTCTGAGCAAGAATTTCTAGGAACAGATTGGAGAGTCATATTGACAAAGGTGGCCTCAGTTTTTAATCCAGATAGTGCATGCAGTAATCTTAATTCTCAGTAGTAATTCATCTCTTTTTTTCCCAGTCCCCATTAACCCTTGAAGTCAAATCTGGCGCCATTTGATAGAATTGCTTAATGTCATCAGGTAGTTATCAGGCCATCTATGTGAATATAAATGTGATTCATGAAGGAATTATAGGATAACTTTTGTGGTACACTTAGCTCAGGGCCCCATGGGAGTTCTATTGTTGAAATTAATCTCATTGATGACACTGATTCATTACAAAACCAGTTCTGCTAGGTAGATGCTGTATATGACATTGTTAGGCAATTTTTTAAAATTCCGTCACTTGATGTATTCAGTTGCATAGATATTTGTGATAGGCAGAATTTTTATGGCTGTTTTTCTAAAATTATAGGAACAGATTAGCTAACTATGTGTTTTTAAAAACAAGAGAATAAATTTGGGTTGTATTTAAACCATGGAGTTGGGTTAATTTGTTACAGTGGTGCTATGGTTTAAGTATTTGACTCCTCCAAAACTCATGTTGAAAGTTAATTGCCAGTGTGGCAGTATTGAGAGGTGGAGCCTTTACGAGATGATTAGATCATACCCTCATGAATGGATTGAACCATATGGAATTAATGGGTTAATGGATTAACATGGTGGCTCTATAAGAAGAGGAACAGTGACCTGACCTAGCACAGTTAGCACCCTCAGCCCCTGGCCATGTGATAACCCTGTTTCACCTTGGGACTCTGCTGAGTCCCCACCAGCAAGAAGGCTCTCACCAGGTGCAGCCCCTCAACCTTGGACTTTTCAGCCTCCATAACTGTAAGAAATAAATACCTTTTCTTTAAAGATTACCCAGTTTCAGGTATTCTGTTATCAGCAACAGAAAACAGTAAGATAGCAGCAATAAGAAACCAATACAGAAAGTATCATGAAAATGAATGGCTGCATAATGCTTCCTTCTGTCATTATTTCAAGTTGCTTTTATGAGCAAAGCTTGTCTTACCTAGCAACAGTTGCTAAGTAAGTTAACAATTTCATGCTAGAGTCTAAGAGGGAGCAACTGCTAAAATCTTCCCCATTCCAGTGCCCTTGCCTTCTATGGCAGGGGCTTTTAGTACCATTCTTTAATAGTTAGGCACATAACCACTACCTAATCATGGTGCATCATTTAATCCTTACCAGTCTTTAGCATTGTCCTAAAACCCTGAACCTCATCCTGCTTTCTTAAACTTCTATCTTTTCTTTTTTTTTTTTTTTTTAAGACTAGTCAAGTGCAGTAGTGAGGAGGGGGGAAAGTAGTAGAACAAGGAGTTCAATCTGTAACTGACTGTGAACAATCACGTGAGATAACTCACTACCTTCGGACCAGCCTATCTTTTCTTAAAATTACTTTTTTCTGATCCTAAGATTATTTTAACCGTAAATAATAGAAGACATCTGAAATTTAACTATGATCAGAAATTCAAATTACTCAAACTTTGTTTGCTGTGCTGTTTGTAACAAAATAATTCCACCAGCCCCTTTGGGAAAAACCTTCAAACGGATCCATGAATACAAGCCATTTAAGACACGCTTTTATACTCACAAAGATATACTAGGTAAGTGACTTTATTGTTTTTCTCTGTTCTAACATTTCATAGCATTATTTGTGATTCTTCCTGTTACATAGACTTTTATCAGCTTTTCCCTGTTCACAGTTGCCTGTCCCTACAGGGATATCTATTTGGCATGGAAAGAATGTGGGTTGGAATCCAGCTTCTCCAATTGTGTGCATTGAACAGGGTATTTGGCCTCTCAATCTGTTTCCTTATATGTAAATAACAATATTGATACCTATCTTGCAGGTTGTTATGAGACTTTAATAAAATAATTTTTTCCTATTATCAAGCCTAGCACATAGTAGTAAATGTGAGTTCTTTGTTGCTGTTGTCCATACTTGGGCATCTTCAATACATGTAGGAGAGGAAATATTTTTAAATAGTATCCTGATATTGGTGAAAGAAACTATAACCTTGAGTAGCTGGTGACTTAAGAGTAGATACATATAGATAACATGAGAATATTTGTCATACATATATATTACATATATATGTATGCATAATACATAAGCAAATCAAATTATAACTACAGATTTCCTTCTTTCTTTTATCCCCATAAGAGTTTTCAATATGACTTTGAGCCTTAATCTTTTATATTCAATGAAGTTTGTCATTGAACTGTTTTAAGTCAAAATGAGTCAAAATTTCCTGTTTTTTATAAGTTCAAAAGCATGTTGAAATGTCTATAGAACAGCTAATGAATATCTCAAAGGACAATAGTTCTCAATCCTAGCAATGCATGATAGAACTTTGACAATTTTGTTTTTAATACAAATATCTAAACACAGACCTACTGGATTTAATACTAAAACAACACATACACACTAAATTAGAACCTCCAGCGTGAGGCCTCAACATGTTTATTTTTTCTTTCCCTTTTAAATAACTTTATTTTGAAGTAGTTTAAAACTCAGCACATAAATGGATCAAAGAGTTTCTGTCTACTGTATTCATCTGTCTTCTATTGATATTTTACATATTCCCAGTACTTTGTCAAAACCAGGAAATTGGCATTGGAATGATAGTATTAACTCAGGTACAGACTGTACATACATTTTTTTCCCTTGGTATATAGTTTTATGAAATTTATCACATGTGTATATTCATGTACCCATCACCCCCATCAGGACATAGAATTGTTTCATCACCACAAAGAGACTCCCTTGTGTTACCCCTTAACAGTCACACCCTTACCCTCTAATTGGAACCCTTGGCAACCACTAATCTGTTCGTGGCTATAAATGCTATCTGAACAGAATCATACATTATCTAACCCTTTAAGATTGACTTTTTTGACTCAGCATAATGACCCTGAGATTCATCCAAGTTGTTTGTATTAATAGTTTGTTCCTTTTTCAACATGTGCATTTTTAAAAAGCTCTGCAGGGATCCTGTTAACACAACCAGGGTTGAGAACAACTAATATAAAGTGAAGGGATTTAAGCATAAAAGAGGGTAATAGTAGCTGACATTTGTATCGCATTTTTATGTAGTTCAACACATTGATGGTCCATGCTTAGTCACATTTCTTCCTAGAATATCTTTCATAATTATTTCTACAGAATGTTGACCGTTTGCAGTATATGTCCATCTCTCCCATAGTATTTGCTGCCCTATGTTTTTAAGACTCACTGATGATCTACTAGCAAAGACTCTATGCCACCAAGCATATAATTTTAGTTGCTAGTGACAAAAACAACTCAGAATAGACTATGCATAAAATGGAATGTCTTGACCCTCCTCACAGAAACCCAAGGGAGATCTGGCGTCAAGGCTTTCCATCTGCCCATGTGTAGCTCTTAGTGAGTTGGCTTAATTGTTTACTACTGCAGTCAGACTTACTCCAGCAGCTGGGAAAGGAGGGATGTGGATGCAAATAGCTCTAAACAGGGGTCCTCAAACTTTTTAAACATGGGGCCAGTTCACTGTCCCTCAGACTGTTGGAGGGCCGTTGGAGAGTGCAGCACACATTCCACACATGCACACTATGGGCCCAGGACGAGTCCAGCTGCTAAGCGGGACAGGCAGCCATGGCAAAAACACCCAGCGGGCCGGATGAATGTCCCCGGTGGGCAGTAGTTTGAGGACGCCTGATCTGTTACCTCCAGTGTAGAAATTCCAGAGGAAAAAGAGCCACATCCTATATAAAATCCTTGGGAAAAGCCTGGTTGAACAGCATGAGCATGTGCCAGATCCTGGGTCAATTATTGTAATGCAGAGAAGGGGATACGAAGGGTAAGAAGGTTGGGTGCTGTTATTGGCAATCTCACCAGAACAACCTGAAATGCAGGAGAGAAGAGATGTTGGACAGACATGTCCACATGTCCACAAATGCCTTATCTGTGCTTATTGCCAAGCCAGGCACCATCAGAGATACACTGCAGCATAAGATGTGCTTTGTAATTTTAGGTAGTTGATCATCAAGACCTAATGGCTTAAAAAGTTACTAATTCAACAAATCTAAGATTTGAAAAATGAATGGAATGAACAATAGGGACTATAAGAGTTTGGATTGGAGAGAAAGATTACGATTTGTGATTGCAGTATCCAAAAGGCTCATCACTCCCACAATAGTTTATGAGCTCTCTCTGACAAGCCTCTCTGGCAAGAAGAGGAAAAACCCTGTACCCAGCTAAAAGAGCTCAGATCTTGGCTCCAGGTCCACCTCTGTCTCTAGCTATCTGATATTGTATAGTCCTCTAACCTCTCTCGACCTTTATAAACTTGTGCAGGGCTAGGGAACCTCTGTAAGGCCACATGTGGACTTCTAGGTCCTTAAGGGCAGCCTTTTGACTGAAATCAAATTTTACAGGACAAATTCTTTTACTTTTATTAGTACATTTTTGTCTTTTATATTTTAATTTTATTTTTAAAATGAATGGATTTTAAATACCAAATACCAAATAAGTTTCAATGAAATAATCCTACCAAATTGACCAGCATTATTAGAACATTAATAAGCTATAAGAGCTAAATTGATGGCTGCTATGCTCATGATTTAATTCTAACTTCCCCTGCCTGATTGGCACCACTACCACACGAGGCTGGTTGGCGAGAGTTTATGGGAGTCAAGTATGCCAATCTCTTATCAGCTTTTTTTTTTTGAGACAGAGTCTTACTCTGTTGCCTGGGCTAGAGTGCCATGGCATCGGACTAGCTCACAGCAACCTCAAACTCCTGGCCTCAAGCAATCCTCCCACCTCAGCCTCCTGAGTAGCTGGGACTACAGGTGTGCACCACGATGCCCAGCTAATTTTTTCTATATATTTTTAATTGGCCAATTAATTTCTTTATATTTTTAGTAGAGATGGGGTCTCGCTCTTGCTCAGGCTGGTTTCAAACTCCTGACCTTGAGCAATCCGCCTGCCTCGGCCTCCCAGAGGGCTAGGATTACAGGCATGAGCCACTGTGCCTGGCCTCTTATCAGCTTTTGACTGGGTGCACTGTGTTTCTATTCAAAGTGGAATTTATAAATAGGTGCACAGCTCTACAGTATTTTTTAATCTTGTCTGCTTAATAGCCCATCATGTTAAAGAAGACCAAGAGAATGCTGAAGGAAGAAAACATTTTTTTAATAAGGATTGGGATCCAATCTTATCTTGTTTCTGCTAAACATAAGATGATTTGCTTGCTTTGTGATACTGCAATATCAACGTTAAAGAAATTCAGTGCTCATTAACATTATAACACTCATAAGGACCACAAATATTTTAAATTAGAGGGGGAGGCATGGAAGGTTGTATTGCAGAAGTTAAAAGATAAAAAGCAAAAGCAAAGACAATTCTTTCAAGCAACAATAAGACCTGGAAATAATGCCACTGAAGCAACTTATAAAGTAGCTGATATACTGAGGAAAAAATGGAAGCCATTCAGTGATGTAAAAATTGTGAAAAAATGAATTGTAAACTTATAGGATACTTAGACCCTGATAACATTTCAAAGTACAAACAACTGCCTCTTTCAAGGGGCACCATAACTGATCGGCAGCGTGAATTAGCCTTCAACTTAACAACTTCATGCAATAATTCGAAAGGAAAATATATACTATTCAATCATTTGGGATGAATCAACTGATACTACTGACTCAGCACAGGTTTTATATTTCATTTGGGTCATAACAGAAGATTTTCTTTGCTATGAAGAGTTACTTACTTTGGGCACTGTTGTGAACAGAACATGGGGAATAAGATATCTTTAAGAACTTTCAAGGTAAATGTTGTGAAGTTGGACTGAATTTGGTCAATTTAGTGAGTGTACGTACAGATGATACATGTTCCATGACAGGAAAACATGAAGGGTTTATTGCACAGGTAAAAAAATGTATTAACAGGCCGGGCGTGGTAGCTCACGCCTGTAATACTAGCACTCTGGGAGGCTGAGGCAGGCGGATTGCTCAAGGTCAGGAGTTCGAAACCAGCCTGAGCAAGAGCGAGACCCGTCTCTACTATAAATAGAAAGAAATTAATTGGCCAACTAATATATATAGAAAAAATTAGCCGGGCATGGTGGTGCATGCCTGTAGTCCCAGCTACTCGGGAGGCTGAGGCAGTAGGATTGCTTGAGCCAAGGAGTTTGAGGTTGCTGTGAGCTAGGCTGATGCCATGGCACTCGCTCTAGCCTGGGCAACAAAGCGAGACTCTGTCTCAAAAAAAAAAAAAAAAAAATTAAAAAAAAAAGTATTAACAGATCCAGATGTTCTCATTTCTTTTCATTGTATATTGCATCAGTAAAATCTCTGTGCTAAAGCTACTATTTTAAGTGACACTTTGCAACAAGTTATAAGTATTGTTAAGTATATTTGCGCAAACAACACAGCATCCTCAGTTTCATAACAGGCTAAAGTTGAAAAATGAGGTATTCAGTGTGGCTTTGCTGTATCATTCTACAGTGTGTTGGCTATCACAGGGACAGGTGTTAGCCAAAATTGTATCTCTGTGGGAACAGATAGTTATATTTTATGAAGAACAGAATCAGCAATATGAATTATTGAAAGAAGGTTTCTATAGGAATGCAGTATTTCTGTGTGATACCATATCAGATCAAAATGACTTGAATATTTCTTTGCAAGGTAAAACAAAGTCTATAAATGATATGTGGCAAAAAATCCAAGCATTTCAAAAAAAGTTATCTTTTTTCCAAACATTTCTTCAAAAGGGAATTTTGGATGAACATTTTCCCCAGTTAGCAAAGGTCATCAATGATATATGTGAATCATTTGAAGAATACGCAGCTGTTATAGACCTAATAATTGGAGAATATAATGAAAGATTCACTGACTTTGAGAATCATAATAACATACTCAAATTAGCATTTCATCCTCACCTAGTTGCTATCACCCAGACACCTAAAGACCTACAGGTGGAATTGATTAAGCTCTCAGTAGATGGCATTTTGAAGTCATTGTTTGGTGCTAAGAAAGATACAATTGAAATATTAAAAAAATGCCGTAGAATACCCACGCCTTCGGCAACATGCTCCAAAAATGCTTTCTTGCTTTTCAGCCACTTGTTGTGAAGCTACATTCTCCTACCTAACCTAAATCCAGGTGCCTTTGTGGACCTCCTTGCTGCAACCAAATATTTCAATGCTTTCCAACAAAAAGCAGACACAACAAAGTCATTAAAAGGCTAATTAACTTTAAAATTAGAAAATAGTTTTCATTTTTTGAAATTATTAAGTACATAGTGTTAGATTTTTATAAATGTACATTTTTAAGTATATCTAATTGAAGTTGCTTGAATGTAGCTTATTTGATTGTAGCTAAATTAATGTGGCCTTCCAACATGAAAAGTTTCTCCACCCTGAACTTGTCTGTATAGGGAAAGTATTATGGGAATATTATTTGTTTTTATTTATTTATTTTAATTATGGGTGCATAATACTTGTCTATCTTTATAGGGTACATGTGATGTTTTGATATAGGTATATATTGTGAATTAATCAAATCAGGGCAATTGGGGTATCCATCACCTCAAGCATTTATCATTTCTTGTGTTAAGAACATTCCTATTCCACTCTTTTAGTTATTTTAAAGTATACCCTAACTTATTGGTTATAGTCACTTCGTTGTGCTATCAAATATTGTTCTATCTAACTAACTATATTTTTGCACATATTAACCACCCCCAATATATCCCCCACCCCCTGTTACCCTCCCCAGCCTCTGATAATCATCATTCTACTCTCTGTCTCCATGAGGTCAATTGTTTTTAATGTTTAGCTCCCACATATGAGTGAAACATGTGAAATTTTTGTTTGTGTGCTTGGCTTATTTCACTTAACATAATGTTCTCTAGTTCCATGTTGTTGCAAATGGCAGGATTTCATTCTTTATATGCTATATAATATTTCATTGTGTATATACCATAATTTCTTTATCCATTCATCTGCTGATGGGCAGTTAGATTAATTCTAAATCCTGGCTATTGGAAATAGTGCTGTAATAAACATGGGAGTGCAGATATCTTTTTGATATGCTGATCCCCCTCCTTTTGATTTGTACCTAGCAGTGGGATTGCTGGGTCACATGGTAGTTCTATTTTCAGTTTTCTGAGGAACCTCCATACTGTTCTCCATAGTGGTTGCACTAATTTACACTTCCACCAACAGTGTATGAGGGTTCCCCTTTATCCACATCTTTGCCAGCATTTGTTATTGCCTGTCTTTTTGATAAAAAGCCATTTTAACTGGGGTGAAATAACATCTCATTGTGGTTTTTGTTTGTATTTGTCTCTTGACTAATGATGTTGAGCACTTTTTCATATACCTATTGGCCATTTGTATGTCTTCTTTTGAGAAATGTCTATTCATATCCTTTGCCCATTTTTAATTGGATTATTTAATTATTTCCTAGTTCATTGTTGGAGCTCCTTATTTATTCTAGCTATTAGTCTCTTGTCACATGAGTAGTTTGCAAATATTTTCTCCTATTCTGTGGGTTATCTCTTTGTTGATCATTTCCTTTGCTGCACAGAAAGTTTTTAGCATGATGAGATCCAATTTGTCCAATTTTGCTTTGGTTGCCTGTGCTTTGAGGGTATTAAGAAGTCCTTGCCCAAACCAATGTCCTGAAGCATTTTCCCAATGTTTTCTTTTAGTAGTTTCATAGTTTCAGGTCTTAGATTTAAGTCTTTAATCTATTTTGATTTGTTTTTTGTATATATTGAGAGATAAGGATCTAGTTTCATTCTTCTGCATATGATTATCTAGTTGGGAATATTATTATTTTGAAATCAAATTAGATCACTGACAGAGGAATCATATACTACTACCTCTTAGCTCACTCTACAACTAAGCAATTAAACCCATAAAGACCTACACACTAAAGAAAGGCATGTAATGCATTAGAAGGCATTTTGCTTCCAGCTCCCTGATGGAAGTAGCACCAGCACCCAGATAACAGGGAAAGAGAGCTGTATAATGTGCTAATATCTCTTGAATATTCACTGATCATCCTTCTTTGGGTATACAAAATATGCCCGTCTCTGCAGGGCATTTATTTCACTTACATTCCCCAGTTGCCTACTGTGTGGAGTGGGCATGATGACTGACTCCATCCAGGCCTGACAGTGCTGAGTTCCCTTCTAACCAGTTAGGAAAAAACTCACCCCTTCAATAGGTATATTTAAAGGAAGGTTTGGAAGCTCCTAAAAGGACATATCTCCTGTGTAGTCCTCATAAATAACTAGATAATGGTGGAGAAAAAAGCCAGGAAAGAGTCCGTGGAGATTTGTGATCATTTATCTTCAAATACACAGATATTGGGGCAAATATTATGGAAAAAGAAGAGCAAGTTCAAGAGGCTTTACTCAGAGAACGTATTTCAAAAGCAGAAGATGAAGTATGGGCTCAGGTAAATGAAGTTATAAATCAACCTAAAATACAACTTTGCAGTTCATTTTGGATTTGTCTGAAACAATATAGTGTAACAGACTACAGAGTCAGGCAGAACTGAGTTTGAACCCTGATTAGTGGGACCTTGAGCGAGTTCTTTAACCTCTGTAGTCTCGGCTTCTTGTTCTGTAAAAGAGGAATAATAATAGCCATCCTATAGGATTGTGGAGAGGGTTCAATGGAATAATGTGCCTAGCTCACAGCAGGTACTTTGTAAGAAGCAGTGTCATCAGGAGTTTCCTTCCTTTAAATTGCCTTTCCGTATGGATGACTCCTGCTCCCTTTATTTTCATTTGACTAAAATCAAACATTTAAAAAAAAGGAAAGAAAAAAAGAACTAGAAGACATCCTTGTTGATAATTGTTTATTATGGCCCCACCCTTAACATATAGACCATCCATTGGTACAGTACGTAATGAGCCTGGACTAAGGGCTCATTTTTTATATGCTTTATCATGGCCTGCTCCCCTTATCATCCCCTCTTTCCAAAATCCTTGATGCCTTGTCCATATCACTATTGAGTGCCATAGTGGCTATTTGAATATTGGGGCTTGCAGTGGGATCCAAAATGGAAGCAAAGCCTCAATCCCACAGCCAACACTTCTCCCAATCATAGATAGAATGTCATAAATGACTCCCTAAAGAGAATTAATGCTCCTTGAGGGAAGGACAAGCCACAGTGCTTATAATAATATTACTTCTAAGTTTCTCTGTAAAACAGACATTTTAGAAAATAGTATTGGAACTGTCTAGTATTAGTGCCAGCAAAAGCTTGGTATAAAAATATTTTGAACATGTAAAAATACTCCCAGTGCAAAGGGTAATATATCTCAAAATCTTAGAAGTCTTCTGTTTTTATAATATCAATAATAAAATTCAAACTGATTGTGAACCATCAATTATATATATTAATACAAGACAGTATTATTGTAAATTATTTTCTTGAATAGTCTATAATTTGAATGTAAATTTATCCAGTGTTCTGTGTATTCCCTTCAAATAAAGTAATAAAACTTTCTGAAGACCTGATGCAGAGGATCTGGGATGGTCCTCAGCCTTTCTACTCTGCTCTTTCTAGCTTTGTGGGTCTTTCCACTTCTCTGTGTTTTCCAGATTTTCTACAATGCACATATGTTACTTTGGTAGTCAACCAAGCAAGAAATAAAGTGCCAAAGAGAAAAGACAACCCGGCAGCCTATGCACAGTGAAGCTGTCCTGTCATTAAGCCATGTTAGCCAAGGGTGGGGATGTGTTTGGGCATCTCTGGCTAACGCAGCCAGTTTGCTATGGGAGGTTAGAGACTGGAATGGAGCAAGAAATTTGGGACCCCATGGTGATTGCTAATTCTCAGTAAACTTGAAAACCTGATTTACCAACACCCCAAATAAGACAAGTTGCCCTATGTTCATCTTGATATATTAATAGATAAATGGACTCTTTCTTTCAAAGGCTTATGAACTCCAGAAACAAGTAGTGGAGAAAGTACTTGAAGAAGCAAAGGACAGACACAGAATCGAAATTCAGATTTTGAAAGAGGAACATCAAAAAGAGTTGCAGGTTTTTATAGCGGCTTATTTCTTGTCTTTTAAAAAGTACTTAAGTTAGTTTTTTAAAATTAAGTACATAGGTTGGCAAGGGAATGAGAAAAAAGATAATAATATAAAAATCTAGGTCAGTGTTTCATGGCGTTAGTTAGGAGGCCCTGGAGGTTCACAAAAGAAATGCTGAGTTCTCTGTAGCAGTGCTGAGTGGGCAAAATAGAACTCCATGGCTTACTTCCCAAGGAAAGCTTTGCCTGACCAACCCTGCCTTGCCACCCACACACTGTCCATGACACCCTGATCTCTTTCAGAGCAGTCATCACTGTTGTCATTAAATAATTGATTGTGTGATTATTTTTTTAATATCTGACTCCCCCGCATAACTACAGTCTTTACTGGGGCATGTCTCATGAAAACTTAACAAATTTCCCAGCAAGAATCTTTGGGATATAATTTCTTCAAGCAAGTTATTTTAGGGTCATTTTTAGGGTAGGTGTATCTGGCTGGTTCTCAATTTGGTACCCTCTGAGAAAAATGAATGAGTTCAAATTATCTTAGTTCTCTGAGCTAGCCCTAGTGCCCAGCACAGTGCCTTGACTTAATAGGCATTCAAATAGTTGTCACATGAATGAAGCAAGCTGTTCTCTGGGCTCTCTAGTTCTATTCTTTTTCCTAAATTTGCATTTACTGCCCTTCCAAGAGGGACATCTGAAGCTTGGCGGGGGGCTCCAGGACCCTGTATAATGCTGCAGCCAGAGGCCATTCAGATCGGGCTCCTACTGTACTGGTGGATACACTTCTGGCATTAGGTTGTGAAGATGTAAAGATGTGATGCCTGTTTCAAGGAGTTCACATCGTAGTCTTCCTTTAAGTAATTTGATTGTACCCCACATAGCCTTTGAGTGGAGGTGATGCACTTAGTGCTTCAGTAGAAGGAAGTCCTAAGAAAATTTAAAGAGAAAATGTTAGAGGGAGATCGACCTCTCCGAAAAATTTGTCCAGGGGGGGGAAACTACATTTATACCACCATCTCTGGGATATTTTTATATATGAAGGAGTAATTTGTCTCAGAGTGGTGTGGAGGGTTGTTATTTCAACCTGTTATTTATGTAGCATACACAGACATAGACATCAGCACCAGTTCTCAGAGGGCGTCTATGAACCACCTGCATCAAAACCTATTCCTCTTGGAGCTTAACATGCAGACACCCCGACCTGCAGACTCTATCAGCAGCCCAAGTGGTTCTCACACAAGTTTGAGATTACCAATATATGGCAGAAAAACAAGTTCTTCTGAAACCGAATATCACTAAATTCTGATATGTAGAGACCACCAGGTATGGTATAGGAGTTTGGTACGTTTCAAGCACATGCTGTTAAATAAAATTTCAGGATCTTATCCAATGAACAGATAGTATTTTGAAAAGGTATTTATATTATTGAAAGATAATAATATAAAAAAGTAAATGAGAAAGTAGAAGCTAAGAGAAAATAAATGAGAAATTAGGGTAGGAAATATAATTAAGTCATGAGTGAATTTAAAACTTAAAAATGTAGGTATGCCATGAAGTGATATGCAATTATTTTCACTTGTTGGGCCTTGAGCTTTCTGGCAGCCAATGCAATAAGGGAAATACCTTAAATCACCATGTCCATAAGGTGAAAACAAATTAGGCACTTAAGAGAGACTCAGACATTCTGAGTTATGAAACCTGAAACTTCTCCTGAGGGAGACATTTCATGTGAAAAATGCCTGTCAAACACATGTGTACAGTTAACATGATGGAGCTCACGAAGCTATTTCTTATAATACCTCCAAATGTGGGCTCACTCAAAATGCATTTCAGTGTAAGCAATTTAAGTGGGAGACCTTATATTGAATAAAAATGCTGACATACAGTAGGTTATTGAATTATTTGAAATTATTGAATTATTGAAAATATTTTGGACTTTTAAACATATATTCCATATGCTATGTGAGGCCGTAAAATGATTTTGGTTTATTTATTAAATGATTTATTAAATCATTATATAAAAAATGGACAGAGTTTAATTCTTTGAATCCTAGTTCAGAACCCAGTCAAAATAAAGGGCTAGGATGTCACTTTGAAATTCTACCATTCAAATAGAAATATATTATGATAATACTTCACCTTAAGTTCAACCACCCGGGCAAGTTTGATTATGAGGATATATTTGAGAACCTAGAACATAAGTTAAAATATCCCCTTAGGAGTTAAATAAAGGGCTCTGACTACAAGAGAATAACTGAGGCTTATAATTACCCATAGCAGAACTTCTCCATCCCCCACTCAAATGCCATCACACTTTTTGACAACCTAAACCCAACACTTGATTTTTCAAATCTGAAATAGATTAAGTGCTGGGCACTAGAAATGACAAAAAGGGGCTCCCTGACAGAATTTAGAGCAGACTCCTCAGACCAATGGCATATAACTTTGTAATTTTCATTATAAAGAGCAAATATCGGCCAGGCGCGGTGGCTTATGCCTGTAATCCTAGCACTCTGGGAGGCCGAGGCGGGCGGATTGTTCAAGGTCAGGAGTTCAAAACCAGCCCGAGCAAGAGTGAGACCCCATCTCTACTATAAATAGAAAGAAATTAATTGGCCAACTAATATATATAAAATTAGCCGGGCATGGTGGCGCATGCCTGTAGTCCCAGCTACTCGGGAGGCTGAGGCAGCAGGATTGCTTGAGCCCAGGAGTTTGAGGTTGCTGTGAGCTAGGCTGATGGGCAACAAAGCGAGACTCTGTCTCAAAAAAAAAAAAAAAAGCAAATATCAATGTCAAAAAGCAAAGCAGTCTGGGGTCATTTATGACAGAGGCAGATGGCCCTATGAACTTGAACAGTTAAAGTTTTTAGCCTGGTATAATCATTCATCTTTGTCTACTGAGCCCAGACCATGTTAGAGTGTTTCATAATACTCTTTTATGAGGTAAGGTAATGTTAAAGACATTTAGAAACCCTTCCATTCAAAATATTTTATTATCAGAAAAATTAAGCGATTTAAAAGACAAAGCCTTTTGCAGTATAGAAAACCCAGCTAGTATTTCTAAATGGCCAATGTTTTCCTAAAAAGATCCTCAAAATACATGAACTGAAGCCACTCTGGAGAGATTCTTAACATTGATTTCTGTTGTCTATTTCATTTAAAAAATTTTCTACCCTTGGAGTAGCCAAAGTAAGAAGTTGAAAATTTTTTTTCTCTTGAAAAAGCTGAACTTTGTCTAACAAATATTTTAATTGTTGTACTAATTTTCTAAGAAGCTAAAGTGACTTCAGTTTCCCTTGAAATTTGGGATTCTCTTGACTCTCAGCTCCAGCTGAGCAGGCCAGTGGGTGCTCTGTCCATGATGCTGGCTCCCTCAGGGCCCCACAGAAAAGGTGCTAGAGGGGGTTTGGCAACCTTCAGCCAGGAGGACTATTATTGGTTTTATTCCTTTCCAAGCTGGGTAGGATTTCATTTAAAGATGGGATTCTGTAGCTATTAAAAATAAGAAAGAAAGAAAGAAAGAAAGAAAGAAAGAAAGAAAGAAAGAAAGAAAGAAAGAAAGAAAGAAAGAAAGAAAGAAAGAAAACTCACTGTACTATGTTATAAGACTGTACAATTGATGACTCTCTTGAAAGACTGGACAGCCAGCATTAAAGCCAGAAAGTGGCAATTAAGAATCCTGGTTTATGTCCCTAGTTCTTCTACTCGCTATGAAATAACTTAATTTCTTTACGTTCTCTTGATGTCTTCTTTAAAATAGAGATAAGCATTTACCTTTAAATGAAAGGTTGAAACACCTGGAAGGAATCTATCCTCCTCTTGCATATATTTCTATCACAATACTCACCGCATGACTAGGTTATAGGCCTCCTCCACCAGGCAGTGAATCCCCTGAATACAAGGATCTCTGCCTTCTCATGTCGGTAGCTTCTGGGTCCTGCAGAGTGCTGGGCACTCCGTGGAGTTCCTAGGCATTTCCAAAATGCTCACACAGGTCTTGGTTTGACTAGTGTTTCTCTTTATTTGGTCGAAGGCCACCCACAGGTCCTCCTTCCTGGAGTGATGGAATAGTTGTTCCTGTTCCCTCCATGAACAAGAAAGGACCCCTCAATACTAGTGAGTTGAAAGGCAGGTTCCTGTAACTACAATAATGTGCAACTGTTTTCAACCTGAGCCTCAGATTCCCCCTACCTAGGAGACACTCAGGAGGCATAATAATTATTTCTGCCATTTTCCAGGAGTGATTTACTAAAGTAGAATCACATTATGTATTTCAGATTATATATAATGATAAGAGGGCACAAGAATATTTGGACAATTATGAAAAAGAGACCTTTAACCCTACCTCTTTAACTCAGCTATTTTACTTGTTGCATATTCCCTTTCAATATTATCTATATATATTTATGCTACATAGTTTGTATGTTTTCAGTTTTACTTAATATAAATGAAAGTCTTATGTGTCATACACACTCACCTTTTAAACCATCAAGTGACTTTCCATCAAACAGATAAAACTATGATGATAGTATGCATCTTTAAACATCAAATCTGTAATGGCTAAACCTAGTTTTACCATTGCTTAAGGAAATGGCGGATAAAACGAGGAGAGAGCTATATGAAAACATGGATGATGAAATGAAGAGGGAACACTTGGCTGCGGAACAACGCATGGTCCATAGAATCCAAAGAATTATGATGGAGTGCCACAGAGAGAAGGTGGAAGCCGTGAAGAATGCCAGGGCTGAAGAAAGAAAGATTGCCCAGGAAGCACTCGATGCCCAGAAAAGGTATTACAGAGAACATATTTACAAATTAGTATCTTACTCCATCAAAATCAACTTGGAGAGAGGGATAAAGTTAATGTGCACAGGTGGATTCTGCCCAGTGTTTGTGTGTTTGGATTTTTATTATGGAATTTACCAAACATAGAGAATAAATATATAATATATTGGAGAGAGAGAGAGAAAGGTTTAAAGAAAAACAGTAACATAAGTACTCAAGGACTTACTACCCAGTTTAAGAGATTGAGAATTGCCAACACTTCTGAAGCTCTCATGTGTTCCTCAGTCATATCTTCTCTCTTTCCTCTCAAGAGAGAATTACTCTTCTAAAGATTGTGTTTTCATTCTGTATTACCTGTTTGAAAAGACTGAGGAGAGAAACATTTTCCCAGAAATACATACAGTCAATCTTTACGTTCTCTAACCTAGATCATATACTATTGTGGACGTGTTACTTATTAGTCTGTTTTCTTATTACACAAGTAATATATGTTGCAAAAGAAATTGACTTTATGGGAATAGATAGAGCAAAAATTGCAAGTCCTGAATCATTCTCCTCCCACCCCGGCCTCTCAGAGACAATCATTTTTAAAAATAGAGTCTGTATCTTTCTATACCTTTTTGATATATTTACATCCATATGTATGCATAATCACAAATCATTCGTTACATAAATCAGATTATACATATGTCTGTTTTAGAAATACCAAGGTAACCCTTTCCATGTATGTAATGAACATTAGATGAAAGGACAGCAGTCAAAGATTGTCAAGTGCAAGAGGAAAAGCACGATTTCCAGATGTTAAGTGACCTGCCTAAGATCACTGTGCTGTAGCAGAATTGAGACTGAGACCTCCCTGTTTGGACTGCTAGTCTCTGGCTGTTTCCTTTTGCTTTGCTCCTTCAGTTAACAATGACTCAGTCCATTGTATATAATTAACATGTAAGATGTTTCTCGTTGGAACTGTTTAGAACTGAACTGGGCCAAACGTAAGATCCTGGAGGAGGTACAGATAAGTGAGAATGAGGGCTGCCTCTATGGCAGTTTCACTGTCACCTCTCTCCTGCACAGACTGCAGATCATTGCGGAGGTAGGAGAGGAAGGCGAGAGAGGATTTCAGGAGGAGGTTAGGGTTGTGGCCCAAAAGAGTGGAAAGTGGACCCTCTTCTCCCTTCTACCCGCCAGCATCTGCAGGAGCTCACCCCTCCTGTTGTCAGAGCCTCTGGGTCCCCTCCTCTCACACACCTGCAGTCTCCTCCCTTCATTGCTCAATTGCCCTTTCCTTTGCCAGGTCTGAATGGAAGGTTTTCAATGTCCACCTTTTATTGAATCAGTAAACTGAGATTAGAGAACTGCCATGTCTGTTATTTGAATATAGCCAACTAGAACGTCCATTTTGTTCATTGATGCTTCCCAAGTGCCTGGAAGAGAGTCTGGCACACGGCAGGCATTCTTTAAATATTTATTGAACAAATGGTTCAAATTTGTTCCAGTCAGCTGAACCCACTCTGCAGCACACCAGATCTTATTTCTAGACATTGCTACCTCCCTGTGTTCTTTAGAGCATTTGCAGAAACTGATATATAGAGAGAGACCACTGTTTAGAATTCTGCTATAGATCTTTTATGTTTCTATAAACTTTCACCAAGACTTAAGGATTCATAACACTTATATATTAAGAGAAATGTGTTAAATGTACAAAAACTTTTTTGTGGATTAAGGTGATTAGATATATAACATATATTATATATATATAATCAATATTATAATAATATATATAATATATTATAATAATATATATATAATATAATTCTAAACATATTACCCAGGAAACATTGGACTCTTTTAAAGCGTGTTTTTTTTTTTCTTTTTTAAATCTCTGCTTGGAAAGGTTCTAATTATTTTTCAGCCCAAGGTAAAATATGAATAAAGTGAGCACTCAGGAATTTTTGTGGTCATGGCTATAATTCCTGATGAAAGCTACCCTTTAGTCAATACCCAGCACATACAAGTCACTTTGTATATTTCTTGTTGAATCCTCATGTTCTTTCCTGGGGGATTCTATCATTCTGCATATCTTCAGATTAAGACCCTTCTTAGAGAGAAGCTAAACAAACTGCCAGAGGTTTACAGGAAAAGGTTACAGGAAAAGGAGATGACAGGGCTCAATTTGAACCCTGGCCTGTATGTTGCCAAAGCTTGTGACCTTCTATCACATGACCTGCTCTATAGGTAGAGGAGTTTTAGCTAAGTGAGTTATCTAGAGAGTTTGTGCACTTCACCAGAGCTTATCAAGTGCCTTCTGTGGACGTCACACAAAGAAACATTACTTCAACATTATGCAAAGTAACTAAAAACATGGTTGCACCATAAAAACAAGGCTGGGTGGACTGGTACACATAACATGTAAGTGCTGGAAGGGTTCTAAGTCCTGGAAAGATCAAGCAAAGTGTGTGGGAGGTATGTGGTGAAGTAGGTTCTTTGGAGGAAGTTGGTCTTGGGTTGCACCTTAGAGAGAAGGTAGGAGGTCCTATTGGTAAGAGAGGCAAAAGAATGAGAACAGAATGAGCAAAGCCATGGAAGGAGAAGGTGTGATGTATAATGAGACAGAGCCAAGGGAAGATTTGAGAGTATTAATAACCCTGAGATATAAATGCATTGCTGAATGATGACCTCTGGAGATGTCCCCTACCCCTCTAACTTCTACAATGTCTGCATCCTCCTGCCAGACCAGGGAGCCATGGGTTTCCAGTATCCCAGGAAAAAAATAAGCATGTATTTTTCTTGTAAACACAATGGTTATACCTGATTGAAATAGTGCTAACTATCCTGTAGTTCTAATGAGAACTAGATTAATAACGTATTATGGGCTAGCCAAGCAAATGATCTGTTATGTTCAACATTGCTCCAAATACTTTATGTACAAATGAATTTTGGGAACAAATTCCTTCATAATTTAGAAATTGCCTGTGGGGGAAATAAGGCACTGTTTCTCACTGTCTTAAGATCCAGGCTTTTTATGGATGGATGTAGAAAGGAGGTTGAAAGTATGCTGTTTAGCAACATACATGAGGAAAATGAAAAGTTCACTTAATAAGGGAAGAAATAACTACTGATATTTTTTCTTTAGATCTATGAGCAATGTATCTGTGCCATTTCAACAGCCTCCCAAAAATAATGAGAAGGCGAGCTAATAGAGGTCCTAAAGAGAGCAAAGAACCAATCAATTGCTAGTATGGATTTTCCACGTTTTATTTGTTTGCCATCATCCCAGTAAGATTGAGTTACTAGATATTAGATTATATTTTTATTTAGTAATTTGTTTTTATTCTCCAGGAACTCATTTTATAAAATATCAGACTGAATCCTGTAGATGTGGGCAGAAACTACAACTATTTTAAAAATAGTTGCATTTCTGGCCACCACCTTAAATATGGTGTGCATTTCAAAATTCCAAGTCCATAGCCTCATGAAGATAGAGATGACAGATGAGCCTTATTGCTTACAGAAAGAAGCATAGACATTCACTTCATGTCAGAATGGGCATTGGAGGGTATGGAGTTGAATCTGCCATCCCTTCTGCTGGGGGAGCCGCCTCCTTCTGTGACAGGAACGTTACTGCTGATTGAGGTGGTTGGTTCAACCATTGAGCACCTCTCTCTACCTGTCATGTTCTTCCTAATGTGGATCCAAAATATGCTGGTCTCACTTTCACTTCTACCCTCAGCTTCTGGCTCTTCCTCTTCTTCTATGCACCATGATCCTTCAAATATTTGAGGAGGGAATGTCCAAGATTTAGTTTGAAAACGGACAGAAAAAAACAAAAGTACTAACATACCAAATTCTTTCAGTCTTTTGTCATACAATAACCTTTCTAGGCCCTCTTCTGCAGGAAAAAAAAAATGGAGATAGACTAATTTGTATAAATCAAAAAATATTTTAACTATACCAAAAGGATTGACTTCCTATGGTGATATTTTGCTCATGGTAAGAATCCTTTTTAAGCATGAATTCTTTTAAGATAAACAGGCACTCCAGGGCACATTCACCATGCACTACATGCCACCACACCTTTCACAACTTCAAGGAAATTATCAGAATAAAATTCAGAGACATCTTGACCTTAAACCAAAAGGAGTGGATCCCAAAGGATCAAAAATTCAGGCTCTGAGACAAGCTGGAAAAAGTTGGAAGGGACATTCCAAAAAATACCAGATTCTTTTAGCAAGAACATATTTTTGATATCAGGGGACTGCCACTAAGGGCAGGACCTGGAGTCGTCCAAGATACATGTTATTGGATGAGTTTTATCCGAGGTCAGCTCTGATGGAGCCATGCAGTCGGCCATTAGATGAAACCTCCTGTGCGTGGGCAAGGAGAAAGCCAGGCTGATCTGGCAGGAAGCTCATGCTTGCTGTGACAGAGCTGTGGCTTTGAGGGGCCCCAGGGAACACAGCTTCTTCCTTGGGGATTTGAGCCATGGTCATCACCTCACCAACAGCCTGAAGACTTTATAAACCATCAGACTGAACCCTAAGAATGTGTATGGATGCACAGTCCCCACATGGTCCACAGCATCATTTCCATGAGCAGCACTTCCGCTCTGCTGTGACCCAGGTTGAAACCAGCAAGTTGGTTCCGATTCCTCTTTTTTCTCCATCCATTATATCCTAGCAGTCACATATTCTGGCAGTTATGACTTTACAGTATCTCTTGCAAAAAGGGGTTTATCTCTTTCTCTCCTTTCTACCCCTCTCTTTCATCATTAGTTTAGACCCTCATCATTGCACCTCCAGAATATTACAAAATGATACTAATTGTTCTCTCTAGCTCAACCCACTAAGATTTAGTTCACCCACTATTACCTGAATAACAATTCTAAAAAGTTATCTTCATCATGTTACCCTCCGGACAAAAAATTTATAGTGCCCTCTCATGAGATTGAAGCAGGTTAAGGGCAAGCACTCTCCGACTTGCTAATTTTGTGACATTGAGCAGTAACTTAATCTCTCTACGCCTCAATTTCTTCACTTGTTACATGGGAATAATCATAGGTCATAAATAAAATTAGTACAGCTTCAGTGGGTTGTGAAAATTGAATGGGACACCGTACATGTGAAATGCTTAGCACAGTCCCTGGGACAGAGTAAGTGCTCAATAAACATTAACTCTTATTATTCATAGTGGAAATAATCTAGTTGGCAGGAAAAGGAAGAAATAGCACAATAGCTAGAGAGGCTAAGGACAAAAGAGGTTTAAGATTGGGGAAGCCTGGCAGGTTTGAAAGTCAAATTGAAGGAATCAGAAAAGATGAGAGAATTGCATCTTGGAGGATGGAATTTAGAAGATAGGGCAGGTGGTAAATCTTGGAAAAGCTGGATTAGACAGGCAGAAGGGAAGGATTTTTATTAACAACCATAAGTATTTGAATCCAACATTTGTAGATTTTTTGATTCTCAAATCTTTAGAGGCTCTGCTCAAACTAGGTTAACTACAAAATCCACTGGAAGTCTATCATTTGCCCTGGAATTAGACTGCCTGGGTCGCAGTGTTGATTTTGCCACTTTTACTAATTAAGCAAACTTGGACAGTTACTTAACCTCTCTGAGCCTTAGTATCTTCTTCATAAAAAGGATATAGTAACAGAACTGCTTCATACAATTGTTTTTGAGGAGTCAATAAGTTACTATGTTCACAGAATGCTCATCATCCAGCTTGGACTTGGTAAGAGGTCAATATGGTTGGCTGCTATAAATTATATGTAATTACATACATTATAGCCAGAGGTCTATGAATCATTCTGCAGTGGTTCTCTAAGTGTGGTCTAAGATCCTTCAGGGTCCCCAAGACTCATTAAGGAGGGGGTCCATGAGACCAAAGCTATTTTCTTAATAATGCTAAGATGTTATTTGTCTTTTTCACTCTCATTCTCCTATGAGTGTATAATGGTGTTTTTCAGAGGTTTTGTGATATGTGATATCACAACAGATTGAAACAATATGAAAATCCAACTTCTTTACTATTAAGCCAGACATTAAAGTGTTTTGCACAAAAATGTAAAAATATACCATTCTTCTCATCAAATATTTTGTTTTTGAAAATATATTTTTCATAATAGATATTTATGTTAATGTTAACAGATTTATATAAATTACTAAATATTTTTAAAATGTCTTTTAGCTTCTAAAGCTGTTCAAGTCAATAGATATAGCTCATGTAAATAAAAGTTGTTTGGTTTCCTCAATAATTTTGAGAATGCACAGGGGCCCTGAGGCCAAAAAGTTTAAGCTGGCTGTCACAGAGTACTGCTCACATGAAATCAAGATTAAAGCTAAATCTAACCTGTGAGTGTAAAGTTTTCTCCCCTCTGGCTAAAGATGAGTAGCTAGATTGATGTAAAGAAATCATTTTTCCACAGAGTTTGGAACTCTGACCATATTTCTTCCATTTTAAACACAATGTAGACTAGGGTCCCTAAAGTTGCCATTAGACATTACACTACTGGCCTCACCATAGCCCACAGCAGGGAACTAGATGGTCAGCTCTGCTCTGAAACATGTTTTTGATTGATAACAGCTAATGCAATCTAAAAGTTCCTCTGTATCAGCCTGTCTCAGGCCGGTGGCTCATCTCAGCAAAGTAATGATTTCTCATACATATGTGGTTAAAGACAAAATCGTTTTGTTTTTAGTGGCTAATCCATCTAATGTATATATTCGTATTATCTTTTATAGCCAGGCGATGGAGGTACTTTTGAACACCGGAATGATGGCTAGTAAGGATCAGAAGGCAAATGTGGACCAACTGTTAAAGGCAAAAGAACATGAAATGAATGTCTACTATGGCATGGCTCAAAGACAAAGGCAAGAAGAGGTCCAGGAAGTACTTCAAGAAGCAGAGAAAACCCATCAGACCACTCTTGACAATATGATGGATAAACTGGTTAACACCCAGGGAGAGCTGCTGTCCATAGCAAAACAACTGGGAATCATGACAAATTGGAAAGATTTCCTAGAGGAGGAATTACAGGAAACCAGGGCAGCATTTCAAAAATACATCAATTATACTTTTCCTAAGCTTTCACCAGGACAGGCCGATTTTATTCTGCCAGAAAGAAAGAAAACACCTTCCAATCTTGTTATTAAGGAGAATGAAACAACTTTTTAGTGGAAATCTTCAAGTGAAATTTCACTACAAAAAGACATCATTCCCAAAACTAAATAAATTTACTCAAAAACCATTTATTGATCCCCAGTCTTGTACAGCATACTCTTGGGCTGTAAGAATTTTAATGGGAAGCAAAAATATTAAAAAGCACATTCTAGGTTACAGTGAGCAACAAGTCCAGGCGAGAAGAGAAAACCATGAGAAGGAGCAAACTGATTAGGAGGGGGAAAGTTTTCTTGGAGGAAGTCTAAACACATGTCTGTATCAATCTTTATTCATCCTGCATCAGACATGTAACTGCTTTAATATTTATTGCTGTTGAAAACAAGTAAATGGACATGTTCTTAGATTGTTCCCATTGTGCAGAGGTATGCTAACTTTCAGTAGAGAGATTATTTGGTAAACTGCAGTCACATTGTAGAAAAAAAGCAATTTCCCTCTAATTCAGTAGGATAAAATGTAAATTCTGGGATTACTATATAAAATAATTCAGAAAAGACTCAATTATATTTGCCAGTTGTGAAAGGAAGATATGTCTTTAGAGGTCAGACCCCCTGCCTCCAGGGATGGGGAAACCCAGGAGTGCCTTGAACTCATCTCTTTTGGACCAAAAGGCAGAAAACCGTTAAGTACCATCATGCTCAGGACCAACCCAGGTCAACATTTGCTAAATTAAAACGGAAGAAAACCCAAGCCATAAAGACTTCTCCAAAATCTATCCACTGTAAAGTAACATTCTTAAGTTATTAATCGCCAGCCTATATTGGTTGCTTAAAAATTAAAACCTTGAAGGCCGGGCATGGTGGCTCACGCCTGTAATCCTAGCACCCTGGGAGGCTGAGGGGGGTGGATCATTTGAGCTCAGGAGTTGGAAACCAGCCTGAGCAAGAGCGAAAAAAATAGAAATTAGCTGCTAAGAAATTAGCTGGACAACTAAAAATATATAGAAAAAATTAGCTGGGCATGGTGGTGTGTGCCTGTAGTCCCAGCTACTCAGGAAGCTGAGGCGGAAGGATTGCTGGAGCCCAGGAGTTTCAGGTTGCTGTGAGCTAGGCTGATGCCATGGCCCTCTAGTCTGAGCAACAGAGTGAGACTGTGTCTCAGAAAAAAAAAAAAAAAATTAAGAACTTGGAAAGCAGTTTTCAGTAAATTAATTTCAGTACTTTTCTGAAGCAGGCTTTAGGTAGATGTGTTTTGATTGACCAATCTGGGATTTCCTTATGCTAAAAGCAGCAATGAATTTACAATTGCATAATGGACTATATGTTCCCTCGTGTTTAACTTCTGGATACTACCAAACTGCTGCAATTCATACCAATCCACTGCCAACGGGCTAGCAGTAATGACTACCATTGTACTAAGGTATTTAGGTAAGAACTACCATACACTAAGGTATTTAGCGTGAGGCACTTTAAAAACGTTAATATTTAATTCTCACAATGACTTTCGAAAGTAATCATTATTGCCTCCAATTTATGGAAAGGGAAACTGAGGCTCAAGGAGATTAAATGACTTTCTCCGGGCACACAGGTATTATAGAAAGTAACAGAACCAGAATTCAAAATATTCCAAGGTACAGGCAGGCAGAAGCCCAAGAGAGAGGTAGGGTTTTTTAGGATTGAACAGACAATAACAGGGGCCAAGGGCACACTGAGCACATTATGCACGTCGACACCTCCATTTTCACAGCAATCTTTTAGGGTAGGAGCCAGTAACATAGACGTAACATTTAAAGATGGAGAGACTGAGGTACAGACAGGTTAAGTCACATTCTCAAGGTCATGGAGCTGGTTAGAGGGAGAGCCCGTTTCACACGTGGAGGGTGTGGCTCTGAGCCTTTGCTCTTAGCCATCGTTTGTGTGTTGTTTGTTTGTTTTTATTTCAGCATATTATGGGGATACAAATTTTAAGGTTTCAAATAATGCCCTTGCTCTCCCTTCCCCCACAAGTCTGAGCTTCAAGCATGACCATCCCCCAGACAGTGCACATCTCACTCATTATATATGTATATACCCACCCCCCTCGCCCCTCCCACCCACCTAATATCCAATTAATGTAATTCCTATGTGTCCACTTAGGTGCTGGTCAGTTAATACCAGTTTGCTGGTGAGTATATGTGGTGCTTGTTTTTCCATTCTTGGGATAATTCACTTAGTAGTATGGGTTCCAGCTCTATCCAGGAAAATATAAGAGGTGCTATATCACTGTTGTTTCTTAGAGCTGAATAATACTCCATGGTATA